GGGGGGATCGACGGTTGAGCTTGCCTGGCCGCTCCGTCTGTGCTCTTCCTCAGAATAGCAGAACCCGGGGGCGGGGGGGAGCAACCCCAAAGGATAGCCCAGCGCTAATACACTTGCGTGTGATTCTTCTGCCAGGTACGAGTGGTTCAGAGAGCTGGGCCTGAAGTGGTACGCAGTCCCGGCGGTCTCAAACATGCTCCTTGAGGTTGGAGGCTTGGAGTTTACAGCCTGCCCGTTCAATGGCTGGTACTTGGGGACTGAAATCGGGGTACGGGATTACTGTGATGTTCACCGCTACAATATACTTCAGGTAACTTTTTTGTTTTAAAGAATAAAAGAGAACGTCAGAGGTACCCTGCTGGATCAGAAGAGTGGCGCATCTTGTGCAGCCTCCTGTTTCACCGAGTGGCTAACCTTGGAGGGCCAACAAACAGAGCATGGAGGCCGAGGCCTTCCCTGATGTTGACTCCTAGCACTGGTATTCAGAAGCTGGCTGCCACTGGATGTCACAGGTCCCTGCAGCCACCCTGGATTGCAACCACTGATAGACCCGCCCTCCATGAATCAGTCCACCCCCCCACCTTCTGAAGGCTTCTGTCCCCCTGGCCATCACTACATCCACTAGCCCTGGAGTTCCATGATTTCAGCACCTGTTGAGTAAAGAAGCGTTTCACCTGGTCTGTCCTGAATCCATCCTCTTGTCTGGGAGCGATCATGGGCTTCTACTGTAGGAAAGGGAGGGAAAGCTCTTGTGAGCACCCAGTAAGTCCCAGCAGCTTATACCCTGCCTCAGGTCATAGGCCAGGCCCAAGAGAAACATTGGCTGATTTCGCACTAGAGCTGCCTCGATTTCGCACCGCCGTTTGCCCCAATACTATTGGTAAATTTCACACCCGAAGCCGCGGGGCTGCATTTGACCCGCGGCTTCGCCCGATTTCCTCCGCAGTTTCATGATCCTCAAAAAACAGGATCGCGAAACTGCGGGGGAAATCAGGCGAAGCCGCGAGTCAAAATGCAGCCCCGCAGCTTTGGGTGTGAAATTGACCAATAGTATCGGGGCAAATGGCGGTGCGACATCGAGGCAGCTCTAGTGTGAAATCAGCCAAGCAAACAAAGGGTCTTAAATGCTAAAGGCACCCACACTTAGGGTCTAATTAGCCCCAACACAACTCATGTTTAACATGTGAGTCAGGCAAAAGGGACTCATTTCATAATCGATCCTTCCACCTCTCAAGTTGGGCTGTTTCAGAATGCTCCGTAACATCACAGGTATTCAGGGACCGGGGGCCGAGCTCAGAGTCTGGGTGTCGTTTCTCTCCTGTGCTGCCGGTGGCCCCTGAGAAACAGAACATCGCCTGTTGTGCTTTGCAGGAGGTGGGGAGGAGGATGGGCCTGGAAACCAACAAGCCCTCCTCCCTCTGGAAGGACAGGGCTGTGACCGAGGTGAATGTCGCTGTCCTGCACAGCTTCCAGGTAAGCGAGAGCTAAGGTGGGGTGGGGCAGTTCTCAGTGGCGGAACGCCGGCTGTGCGTATGGGAAGTCCCAGGTTCAGTCCCTGACCTCACCCGTTAAAACCTCTCAGATAGCACGCTGCGAAATATTTCTCTGGGACCAAGAACAGTGTTTGGCAGGTACCTTCTTAGAAGAGGTGTTCCCTCTCTCATGTGGGAGGGAATGCCTCTTCCAAAATGACACTTTCTTGGAAAAGGAATCTCACATGCAGGACGAGATGCCTTTCCCAATATGACTCCTTCTTGGAAGAGGAATTCCTTCTCTCATATGCAGGGTGGGGTGCCTCTTCTGAGATTGTACCAGCTATATGTGTGAAAGTGGCGGACTCTAATCTGAAGAACCAGGTTCGATTCCCCACTCCTCCACATGCAGCTGCTGGGTGACCTTGAGTCAAAGTTCTCTTAGAGCTGTTCTCTCAAGAGCAGTACTCTCGGAGCTCTCTCAACCCCACCTACCTCACAGGGTGTCTGTTGTGGGGAGGGGAAGAGAAAGGAGATTGTAAGCCGCTTTGAGATTCCGTGTGAAGGGCAGGGTATAAATCCAATCTCCTCCTCCTCCTTCTTCCAGGAACAAAATGTCACCATAATGGACCATCATTCTGCTGCTGAATCCTTTATGAAGTACATGCAGAATGAATATCGGATACGAGGAGGATGTCCAGCTGACTGGGTTTGGCTTGTCCCTCCCATCTCAGGCAGTATCACACCTGTCTTCCACCAGGAGATGTTGAATTACGTCCTCTCCCCTTTCTATTACTATCAGGTGAGCAAAGAGCAGATCCCTGAAGGTTGTTTTGGACCTTCCGGCGCAGGGAGTCTATCACAGGTCTTTACTTCCCTCCAAAAGTATAGCTCCCGTCCCTCCACCAGTTAAGCCTCCCTTCTTTCTGCCTCAGTTTTGAGCAAAGTATAACTTATTAGCACTACCAGTCAACAGATCTACAAGGAATCTGGAAAAGTTGGGAGTTCACTCCTCCAGCTCTCCTCCCAGGCAGAAATGGGAAGTTGCTCCAGAAAAGACTTCCGATCTGCTTCCCCCGCTGCAGCCAGGCCCTCCTCTCATGGGGGTGGGGTGGGAGAGCAGCCCCGCGTCTGCAGGCAGGGGTCGGCCCTGTTGGGCCAAGGGCTTTGGCAGCCACCCACTGTAAGTAGTTTTCCGAAGGGCTTTCTTTTGTCATGAAAAGCCGCTTCGGGCTCCTTCAGGTGTGGTTGGCATCATTTGGCATCCAGTGTTTTGAACCAGTGAGCTGGCCAAGTCCTCTGAAATAGGAGGAGCTGGGGGTGAATGGCTCCCCCCACCCCCGAAAACAGCTTTCCCGTCACGCATCCTCCAGGCCTTGGCTGCAAGGACGTTTAGAGTGTCTAACCAATGGATTGCTCAGTAACTTCAAGATCAGGCAGTCTCATGGCCCTGGTAGGTTGATAGGAATGATGTACATCATTCAACTCATCTAGATTTCTCTCTGGGGTTATCCAGAGAACCCATGTAGAATAGCAGTGAGAACGTTGGACTAGGACTGGAGAGACCTGAGTTCAGATTCCCACTGTGTCAGGCAGAGCGGCCTTCTCCCTCAACCTAGCCCACCTGACTTGGTGGCTGGGAAGACAGAATGAAGGAGAGGAGAATTAGGGCAGGTGAGCTGCTTGGAGAAGAGTAGGAAGAGCTGCTAGACTGAGGTTGTGGTTACAGGGCAAGGCAATTGTGCTTTGTTCCCGATATAATTAAAACCGGAATATTTTTTTCCGAGTTGGGATGTTCACACATCCCTCCCTGAACCGCAAGCTCGCCCTCCCCACCTGCCCACCTCCCCCCCCCAGCAACTTTCCAGCCACCGGCCCGATGAAAAGAAAAGGAAAAGGCACCTGTGAAAGAGTTCTCCTTTCCGCCCGATGCTGCTGGCTGGCTGGGCACGGTCCCCGGGCCCTTGGGGCTCCCTCCCTCCCAATGCCGCAGCTTTGGGGACTCCTGGGGCGGATGCCAAAGCCCACTCACCTGACATGCCCCCCCCCCCCAGCTTCCTCCCCCAGGAACTGTCAACGCTGCCTCCATGCCGGGGGACGGCGGGCAGGACTTTTCTCCATGCATGATGAGCGAAGCCGGAAGGTTTTTTTAAAAAAATAATCGCAATCATTGTGAGAGATGGCTGTCCAGGTGGGCGAAATCACACATTCAGAGTGCAAGTGCCAGGAAAATACTTGATTTTCCCAGGGGCAGGAAAAACTGGGAGCATTGCGGGAGTGAGCCCGCTTCAGCACGGGAGGCGGATTCGCCTGTCTGATCAGCGAACTTAAATGCAGGAGGGAACAGCGGCGAACCCCAATCAAATGGACCATGTGACCGCAGCCAAAGTCTTAGTTGGGAAATATATGGGTACCTGCATTTTTTCCAGTAGTGGTGCTTAAAGCGGTCCGGGAGGGCAATTTCCAGTCACGGAAAGATCGTGTGTGTGTGTGTGTGTGTTAAAAAACAAGAAACGACTGCAGTGGCAGGGTCCTTGGTTTATATTGGGCTGCTTCTGGCAGCTAAGCTAAATTACTGGGAAACAGATGACAGATTTCGAGTGTCATCTGCCATTTAGCAAACACAGGGAGCTCGGAAAGGGGCAAACAGGACCCCCTCCCTGCCGCTGTTTCCGCTGGTGACTTTGGTGCAGGAGGGAGGCCCGAAGCCCCTCCTGCCCCCTCGGCTGGGCAGTGGGGTGCTTTGGAAGAGCGAGTCCCCCTCATGCATGTGTGGCTGTCAGCTGTGGTGGAAGACCCCCTGTACCCGTTAGTCCTCACCCTTTCCCAAAGGACCCCTCCATAACCACGCTGTGGCAAGCCAGGTGTGCCAAACAGCAGGGGGGGGTGAGAGAGGTAGACCAAAGCCGTGGGGGAGGGGGGGAAGCAGGCAGGAGAAGCCGCAGTGTTCAGTTCAGCGGCCACTCAAAAGGGAATGGGAGGGGGTCTGAAACTGCACCTGACTCCCCCTCCTCTTCAAGGTGGATGCTTGGAAAACGCACATCTGGAAAGATGAGGAGCGGAAGCCGAGGAAAAAAGATATCAAGTTTTGCATTTTGGCAAAGTAAGTTCCCAGGGTTGCATGCCCAGTGTGTTCCGCAGGGCCCAGGCGGAAGGGGGAAGTCAGGGGACTCTTGCCAGGGCCCAGAAGGACCAGCTCTGGGCCCCAGGCTCATTTCCTGGGGTGACTGGTTTACGGCACTTCAGATGTAAGAGAGTCCTTTTTTGTTCACAGTGTATGTGATCAGGATTATGTTGCTGTTCCGGAGCCATTCCAGAGAGACATTGCATTTGAGCTGAGTCAACATGTGAAGCTCAGAATTGCCTTCTCCTGAGACTTCCCGTAGTCATCCGAGGCAGACCACCTACAGGCAGACAGCTGACAGGCACTAGGAAGTCTGTCCTGCCCATGGAATTAGGCAAACTTGCAGCTTTTAGCAGTATCAGTAGCTACCCCCTGTACTTGCAACAAAATAAAATAAATAAACTTCATGTTCAGAGGCAGTATACCTCTCAGTATTGCTCCATGTGCAATGTTGCACATCAGTTCACACAAAACAGAGTACACAGGTTGGTCTGCAGTCCCCCCCCCCCCCCGGGGTCACATTCAGATTTAAGTTGCAGGTTCTCCTCGGTTCCTGTGTGTGCAGTGCTTGATTCAGATGAGGACCATGGTGCTTATGGAGAAACAAGCCAAAACCTATAGAAACAAGCCTTTCAAAATGAGCCAAAACACTCATCGAGCAGCTTAAAACGATACTGATAACACACAGTTTCCAGCTGAGAAGCAGACCATAAAACAGCTAAAAGCGATTTTTAGAAGCCCCTTTTTAGGTGATCGTTGTGACCATACAGCCTTAATTGGGAGGACTGGGTTGTTCAGTTCAGGACTTCACATCCTTCTGGTAAAAGCTGGACTGTCCACTGGGCGGGCCTTGGACTTCCAGGCCTCGACCTGTCCACTGGAAAACCGACATCAGCTTCGCAGTGACCCCCCAAGGATGGCCCCGGTGGAAACCCCCCCCCCAACACCTTGGCAAAGGGGCTTAGACCTAGAAGTATTTTAAGGCCCCAGTTTATTGACCTGGAATCTTTTCTGTTCAAGGATCACAGAAAAAAACTAACTTCCTTCTGACTATTTATTTCTATTAAAAGAAGTCAAGATAGAATTCTTCCTCTGGTAAGTGACCAGGCATCCCTGCCTCTTCTCCCCCAGGGCTGTGTTTTTTGCTTCCTCGCTGATGCGGAGAGCTGCAGCTGCCAGGATAAAAGTGACCATCCTCTATGCCACGGAGACGGGGAGATCCGAAACGCTGGCCCACCATCTGGGTGATCTGTTCAGTTGTGCTTTCAGTCCCAAGGTAACAGGACTCGTGTTGGTCCTTTCTCCAAGACAGAGAAAGGAAAGGAAACACAGAGATATTCAGGCAGCCTATCTACAATCCCTGAACATCTTTTGTATGATGGGTGTGTGTGTAGATTCCGACGCATTCGGCAGGATTTCTGGAGAGAGCCTATGCAAACATTACACACATGTACAGTGGATATATGAAGCTTCCTCATGAGTCAGACAGTCACTTCATCTAGCCTGGTATTCTCCTCTGACCAGCCTTGGCTCTCGGGTCTCAAGCACAGAAACGCCATCTGAAATGGCTGACCCAGAGAAGCCAGGGATTGAACCTGGGAGCAGGTTCTCTGCCGCTGAGCCGCAGCCTCTCTTTTCCATAGGATGTCCCACTATTAAGGCCTTCTGTGGACATACAAAGTCGCCTTGCACAGAGTCAGAACTTTGGTCCATCTGGCTCCATCTTCCCTCCTCTGACTTGCAGTGGCTCTCCAGGGTCTTGGGCAACATCTGTTGTCTGGAACTGGAGGTGCCAAGGAAGGATTGCATCTGGGACCCTGCCTCTGTGCTCCACCCCCCTGTCCAAACTGTTCTAAAGTTCTGAAGAACATGTGGCGATGAGGGCGGGGCTAGGAGACGTGATGCATTCCTCATGAGGCCTGTTTGTTCTCCTAGGTCATCTGTATGGACAGCTACAATCTAAGTGACCTGGAGAAAGAAACTCTTCTTCTGGTCGTGACCAGCACTTTTGGAAATGGTGATTCACCAAGCAACGGAAAAGTAATTTTCTCGATACATTCTGTATTCATTTTGCTTCCTGTTATCAATGGGGACTGCCAATTCAACTTAAACAATTGTCTTTATTTTGGTTGCAGAAAGTGAAGAATGCTCTGTTGACTACGAAACAGCTCAGTAACAAATTCAGGTAACTTTGGGGGTCTTGCATTTATCATGGGATGATTTGGGGGTTGCTCCAAAAATGGGTTTTGTTTTTTTCTTATCCAGGTAGCTTTAGATAACAAGGCCCTACCTAGAGTACAAGCTTATATATAAAACATGACCCAACTAGAGTACAAGCTTATTATCAGTTTTATACGACTTTAAATGTCATGGTTCCGTACCAAGGAATTCTGGGAATTATTGTGCACTTGTTGTGCTATCACCTTCTTTTGATTCATCACCAAATACCATTAATACATGTTTCCTCTTGGAACAGATACGCTGTATTTGGCTTGGGGTCAAGCATGTATCCAGAGTTTTGTGCCTTTGCCCATGCTGTTGACCAAAAGCTTGCACAGCTGGGGGCCTCGCCAGTCACCCTGACAGGAGAAGGGGATGAACTTAATGGACAGGAGGAAGCTTTTCGCGTCTGGGCCGTTAATACATTCAAGGTAACTACAGCAACCATAATGCAGTGTCTACTGCCAGTTCGTGCAGACACAGGACTGGAGGGAACCAGCAAGTCATTAGGATTAATGATTTGATGGATAGAGTCTTGGGATACTGTATGTGCTCCAGAAAGAATCTGTGTAATATTGCCCCCACTGGTTGGCAGACGGTGTGAAGGATTTGTTACAAATTTCGAAAGCCTGCCTTTTGGTTCTCAAGGCATTAAAATTGTGTTAAAATGTTGTAAAAGAAGCAACATTTATTTAGGGTGTACACTGGTCGGGGCTTTGGATCTAGAACAGCCGTCCAGTGTGCTTGCTCTTGCAACAGCTACAGTAATGAAAGTGGCAGAAACAAAAGTGATCATGAGGACAGCTTATAAAAAAAGAAACTAAAAGGGACATATTTGCATGTCACTGCTTGTGACTGGCTTCATCTGGGCTAGGACCAAAAGTGTCTGAAATATGCTGAACATCACTTGCCCCAGCAACAATGTGGGGTCAACAGTAAATTGTATAGAATATTATTAGTAAAACCAGCAGCTTATTAATATGTATTTTCATTTTCATCAACCCTTCTTGTGTCTTGAAAGAGTGCCTGTGAAATTTTCGACATCCGTGGAAAACACAGCCTCCAGTTGCCCAAAGCGTTCACCTGCAACGAAACCTGGGATCCCAAAGATTTTAGGATTGTGTATGACTCTCAGCCGCTGGATTTGGAGAAAGGTATGCTCTCCTTCACACATACACAGCCACTCTTTCTTTTCCAGGGTTCGTCTTGGTTTCAACAAATGTGAAAAGCACTGGGGGGAGTCGGGGACTTCTATTTAGGGTGTAAGCTGGACAGGGCTTTGGACCTAGAACAGCCATCCAATGTGCTTGCTCCTGCAACAACTGCAATACTTCCTCAACCTGTATGTTGTTAAAGATATTTCTACAAAGACAGCACACCTCTAGTACCTTGTTTTCTCTATAAAGAAATGGTCCCTGCAAAACTGCCCTGAACACTACTGCAGGAAAGGGGGAAATGATCGAATTACCTGGCCCCAGTCAGATGTATCTGTGGGGTTCTGAGTATGACAAGCTCCGTCCCAGATCCATGGTTCCAGGTGTGTGCGTGGGCTCTGCCACTGACCAGAGAGACTTAATGTGTGCATGCATTCCTTGGTGTGAGTGGGCCATGTCCAAGCATTTGAGATGAACAGGGAGACACTTGCGACTGTAAACCTGCTGAACTTCCTGCAGCTGCAGGGTGTCATCTCTATAATGCTTTAAGGTTGAAATAACTGATTTATTTTTTTCCTCCCAGCACTTGGTGACATACATGGGAAAAATGTGATTCTAACAAAGCTCAAATTTCGGCACAATCTGCAAAGTTTACAGTCCAGGTATGCCACTTTTTAGGATCTGTACCTGTGGGTCATAGGTGGGGGACAGACTGAATTCCTTTTGCACAAACCGGTTTGACTTAGGAGTTCATCCTCCTTTCTTGGGATGAAACTGTGACAATCCCTTTTCCTGACCACACTGAAATAGTACCAGAAATGTTGCCTATTTTTTTGCAACAGCTGTGGTTTGAACAGCCACAAAACAAATAAACAAACAGTGAAAATGAGCCCAAAAAAGGTTCAGAATGACAAGAAAAAGAAACAAAAAAGGGTACCTGAGGACATCGCTGGGATGGTGCTGAGCAGCTCTGTCTGACTGCCCCTGCACTGGGGGGGGGGGGAAGCACTCGATGGGTTGAAAAATAAAAGATGCATTTAACAAGGACTCTTTAATTTACTGTGATAAGTATGACATTGTGTTTGGGATTGCTGCTTTCAGTTAAATGCATAGGGCTGGATCTGCATGTCTCCCGGGTGCAATCTGCGCTGCTGCAGGAGCAGGGGAGGGGGGAAGGTATGTGGAATTTAGATGAGATGCAACCTACATGACTGGGGTCTGCTTCATGTCAGCTCCTCCATGGTCCAGTAGGCCCCTGTGCACCATTCCTTCCAACTGTGCTCATTTTTCTCATTCCCCTCCCTATTCAGCCATCTCTGTATGCTCTTTTAATATAACACTCCTTTTTTTGAAGAGGGGAGAGGAAATTGACACACTACAAAATAGCTGACTCTACTTACAGTAGAAAATGAAGCCACATATATAAGCAAAGTTTTATACAACTTTGAAACTTTTGAGGGCCAGTTATGAAGTTCCCAACACCACAGAATGCTCTGCACAGTTCAAAGGCCTCCCTCATTCCAATGAACCATCTGATTAAAGCAGAGATGTGGCTGGCCACGTTTTCCATAAACGGCCAAGAAGCCTTCAGAAAACCTGAGACCGTCATTCTCCCCGCTGCTCCTAACTCTTGGACAAAAGGCATCCTGTCCCTTGGTTTCCAAAGGATGTCCGGCAGCTGTTAAACACTGGGTGGGTCTGGTTTTCTCCTTGTCGCTTCAGCCGGACAACGCTTCTAATTGAACTTTCCTGCAAGACTAATCAGGAAATCCAATATCTCCCTGGAGACCATCTCGGAATCTTCCCTAGCAACCAGAAAGCTCTCGTTGATGGAATCATGGCCTGTGTCGCGGATGCCCCTCCGTCTGATCAGACCATCAGACTGGAAACACGCTGTGACCGTAAGTCAGGGCAAGACCACGGGAAAGAAGATGTCTGTGGCCAGAATCACGTGGCAGCCTCTGCAGCTGTGCCCTGGAAGACTCAGAACTGGCCTCCCCAGCCGGAGGTGGGAGCATGTCAGCCAGGGCGATGGTTGTGACTGCCTATCAGATCGTAGGACTCACAGAACAGGCCTGGAATGTTTATTGGCTTACTTATTAAAACATCTATTCCTTGCCTTTCCTCGTGATCCATGGCTGCTGAAATGATGAATCACTTGTCATAAATGCTTCTGTCCATGGCCATTTCATTCATTAGGGAGCCAGAAAAGGGGGCAGAAGTCTGTGCAGTGTAGAAAGTGGGAGAGCTTCACTACCATTTGGAAGCCAAGATTGCCAGCAGCACCCTGGGCCTGCCAAACACCCATTCCTCGTGAAGTCAACGTGTTGCTTGATAGTATCGCTCTCGCTCCGAATGGGCTTTGTTTTCCACCGTGACTTCATCTTGGAGCCAGAGCTGCAAGGCCAATTATGATGTTCTCATTATACTCACTATGTCCTCCTGGGGGCGATGGTGCTGTGACAGCAAGGGCAAATGAGACCCCTGCGGTTTGCTAAGATCAACGTCAACAACAGGGAAAAGCCACAGAAAGCTTGGGGTTCCACACATTCCCCCCCCCCCCAAGCACACCTTTCACCCTGATAATATCTGCAGAAAAATGTTCGATTGGCTAGGGGTCATTTCCTGCCGGAGCGCCCCGGAGAGGTTCTCTGGCAGTAACGAGCCCGGGCCCCGCCCCCTCCCAAGGGGGGGGGGAATTAAAGGCCTGGCTTCCCTGCGCAATCTTCTCTGAGTGCCCCGCAACCACGGGGCATTTGGAGAAGATCCAGCCCAGGCTGGAGACAGGAAGGGGAGCCGAGCAGACGTGCCCTCCTTTTCCCCTGAATCTCTCTGCCTTTGCAGAGAGAGTCAGGGGGGAGGATTTAAATGCCTGGTTTCCCTGCGCAATCTTCTCTGAGTGCCCCGCAGCCACGGGGCACTTGGAGAAGATCGCAGAGGAAAGCCAGGCATGTGTGCCTGGCTCCCCTTCCTGTCTCCAGCCAGCCCAGGCTGCCTGGAGACGGAAAGGGGAACCAGGCACACATGCCCTCCTTTCCCCCTGAGCCTCTCCGTTTTTGCGGAGAGACTTGGGGGGGGGTTTAAATGCCCGGCTTACTGCCAAGGCGGGCTGGGGGGGAAGCGAAGCGAGAGGAGGTTTAAAGTTTAAACCCCTTCTCTCTAGAATCGCGCAGCAGCAGTGGCATGATCTTTCCATTGTATTCTATGGGGCCATGGAATGCAATGGAAAGATCCTGCCACCCCTGTGGCGCGACTCTAGAGGGAAGGGGTTTAAACTTTAAGCCCCTTCTCTCTTCACTCCCCCCCACCCCACCTTGGCAGGCAGGCTGGGGAAGGGAAGGGGAGGCTTTTGAAGATGCCTCCCCCCCTTTTTTTGCTTCCCCTTCTAACATCACTTCTGGTGATGTCAGGGGGCGTGGCATATGCTAATGATTATGCTAACAGCAGGTACGCTAATGAGTTCCTGCACCTCTTTTTCTACGACATGACCCCTGGGTATGGCCCTAACGGCTTAGGACAAGACCTACTGCTCTCCACTCACCCCGCCCCATCGTCTCTGGGTTTTTGGACATGTAAATAAAAGTTTGCTCTGGGAGACCCAGGTTCAAATCCCCACTCTGCCATGGAAGCTTGCTGGGTGAGCAGCAGCCGCCCACTGTCAGTGGAACCTGCCTTGCAGGGTTCTTGTGAGGATAAAGTGGAGGGGGGCGGGAATGCTGTGAGCGGCTTTGGGTCCCCACTGGGGAGAAAGGAGAGGTAAAAATGAAGTGAATAAATGAATACATGCCGGAGAATGTTTTTATGATGTAATTGTTTTTATTATATTCAAAAAAGGAAAACGGCAGAGCTGCCTCTTCTACTCAGCAAGGTTCTCTTGCGGGTGAAATTGGCTGGAATGAGCAATTGGGTTCAGGGCAGCAGTGGAGCTGGAAAGCCCCAAGAAAAGCACCTGGCTTGTTAATGACCCGGCTTTGCTAAGAGGCAACTCTCTCCCCAGCTGCCTTCCTCTTCGGGAAACGCTTTCTTGCTTCCTTTCTTTAAAGTCCATCTCCTGTTTCCCCTTCACTTCCAGGGGGCTACTGGACTGCTGACAAGAAGTTTCCAGCCTGCACCTTCTCCCAGGCCTTGACGTACTTCCTGGATGTCACCACTCCCCCTTCTCAGCAGATGCTCAGAAGGCTTTCCCAGGTGGCCGGGGGAGACGGGGACAAGGCCAGGCTGGGCCTCCTGGGTCAGGTGAGTCGGGACCTTTGGCCGCTACTTTGTGGGGCGCCTGTTTTCATTGGCGAACGGGGAAACTAGGCTTTGGAGCCCAATAAGAACCCTTTGCTTTCAAAGCGCTTCGCACACTTGATTCTGCAGTCTGTACAGCAACCCTGGTCAGTAGGCCAGTGCTGTTATCTCCCTGTTGCTGGGATGGCGGGGGTGGCTGAGGCTGAGGGGAAAACACGGCCACCTGCTGAATGCCTGGCAGGGCTGAGATCTGAACCTGGGACCACAGATGTCATAGGTCATCCTCTGAGCCAGAACGCCACATGGGCTTCTGGTTAAATGAGTTTAGTCGGTTAAAATCAATTAGATTTCTCATTTAAAAACTCAACAGGAAAGGTGCCCCTCAGTTGATTGGACAATACATTTTTAAAAGCTCATTCCTTTAAATATTTGTGTGTTTCATGTTCTTTATATTCCGCCTTATGGCCATCCAGTCCTCAAGGCAGAGTAGAAGAACTAACAAATCAAGTCAATACAATCCACAGGAATAATTGCATTAAAACACGAACCAAGCGGCAGTTATTTAAAAGACTTCAGTTTGGTAGAAGTTAAGCATAGCACGATACAAATAAAGATTAATAAACATTAATAAAGATTGATTTGACAGATCAATTTAATAAACATTGATTGAATAAGGATTAATTTAACAGCAATAAGCTGTTGAAAATAAGGAAACAAAACACACATGCTGGCAGGCAATGTCTAAAGCCCAGGGAAATGAATTCTTACCTCATGCCTTATACAAACTGCAAGTGGCCAGGGCCATTTTCAAAGAGGCATTCCCCATTCTCTGTCACGCAAGGGGGTGGGGGTGGGGATGCCTCTTCTAAGACAGCGTCTTCTGTGATACTGTGGAAGTATTGCCCATGACTACGTTTTTCATTGCAGAGCTTGGAGGAATACAACAAGTGGAAATTTCACAACAGCCCTACCATTCTGGAAGTCCTAGAGGAATTCCCATCCATTGAGATCTCTGCATCTTTCTTGCTGTCTCTATTGCCTTTGCTAAAACCCAGGTACTACTCGATCAGTTCCTCACCGGACTGGGAACCCAAGGAGCTCCATCTGACGGTCGCCGTGGTCACCTTCAGGACCAGAGGTAATCGGTGAGAGGCTCTCTTGAGGTGATTCCTTCAGCAGCCGTGTTTCTTGACCAGGGTTGCCAGCCTCCAGGCGCGTCCTGGAGATCTCCCAGAATTGCAGCTGATCTCCAGAAAACAGAGATCAGTTCCTCCGGAGAAAATGGCTGCTTTGCAGAGGGAGGTCTATGGGATGATCTCCCTTCCCTTCCTCCCTCAAGCCCCACCCTTCCCAGGCTCCACCCACCCCCAAATTCCCAGGAATTTCGCAACCCAGAGCTGGCAACCAGAGGCCCCCCCAAACACAAGTCTCAAGGGGGCCACAGGACACCACGGGACACCGGAAGAATGACAGGAAAGGCCTGCTCAGCTTATTCCTGGACAGTGCCAGGAGATCCAGCTGATATTTCATAAAGACTTGATTTGGTCTTCCCTCTTTTTCTCAGGTGGAAAAGGTCCTGTGCACCACGGGGTATGCAGCACCTGGCTGAACACTGTCGACCTGAGAGAGACAATCCCCTGTTTTGTGCGCAGGTAAGAAACTAGTGAAGAAGTGACCAGAAAGCCTATCCAGGCCTCCAAAAAAATATAATACTAGTTGAATGTGTTCTGCTTTGAATACAGGTCTTTGAATTATTCATTTCGTGGATTTATATGCTGCTTCTCCAGGGTCCTGCCCAAGTCAGCATACAGATAAAACAACACTGTATAAACATAATAAATTACCAATATATAAACAAGATAATATGAAAACGAAACTACACAGAAGTATAGTGTCCAGATCACGTGAAGGGATGGTATCACTTTACTCTGCTCTGGTTAGACCTCACCGAGAATATTGTGTTCAGTTTTGGGCACCACAATTTAAGAAGGATGTTGACAAGCTGGAACGTGTCCAGAAGAGGGCAGCGAAGATGGTGAGGGAGGGGTCTGGAGACCAAGTCCTGTGAGGAAAGGTTGAAGGAGGAGCTGGGTACATTTAGCCTGGAGAGGAGACGACTGAGAGGTGATATGATAATCCTCTTCAAGTACTTGAAGGGCTGTCATCTGCAGGATGGTGCGGAGTTGTTTTCTGTTGCCCCAGAAGGTCGGACCAGAACCAATGGGTTGAAATTAAATCAGAAGAGTTTTGCATCTAAACATTAGGAAGAACTTCCTGGCAGTGAGAGCAGTTCCTCAGTGGAACAGGCTTCCTCGGGAGGTGGTGGGCTCTCCTCTTTGGAGGTTTTCAAACAGAGGCCAGATGGGCATCTGACAGCAATGCTGATTCTGTGAACTGAGGCAGATCATGCGAGGGACGGCAGGAAGGGGGGCCTCAGTGCTTAGTTCTCGTGGCCCTTTCTTACACGCTCAGGGAAATGCTGATTGCCACTTTGGGGTTTCAGGAAGCAATTTTTCTCCAGGCCAGTGTAGCTGGAGATCCTGGAGGGTTTTTGTCATCTTTTGGGCGTGGAACAGTGGTCACTGCGGGTGTGGAGAGGGTAGTATTTGTGAATTTCCTGCATTGTGCAGGAGGTTAGACTGGATGACCCTGGAGGTCCCTTCCAACTCTATGATTTTGTGAAAACAAGCCAGTGGCTTAAAATCAGCATAAAACAACCACTGAAGCACAAAGGGTTACACTCAGTGGTTAGATGTTTTCCAGCGAAGGGGTACAAAATGAAGGCGTCGAAGTGGGTGTGGGTGGGTTATTAAAAAACAGTAAGTCTCTAGCACCCCTCACAGAGATATAAGGGAAAAGGCACATCTCCCTCCACAAGGGAAGGGGCAGAGCAGAGGTGTCGACTGTCAAGCTCATTTGTCACGAGGACCAGAAGATCTGGCGTGTCACTTTGTCGGGCCAGGCCTCATGTGCTATAAAATGTAATGCCAGGGACCGGAGATGCTTTACCACTGGCTGTGACCATTATACCCCTCCCCAGCTGGTCTTGGGGCCAAACCAGCCCTTTCCACCCCCGATATCGGGCCAGAACTGACAGAAAAAACCCATGCAGAGAAGCCCCATCCGGCAGCCCTGCCTCCCAGCGCATGTGTGGCCATCAGGCCATGGGGTGAACCTGTGAACAGTGTTCTGTGCAGTAAGGCCCGAAGCCCTTGCACATTCCGAAGAGAGAGTGGGAAGGGGCCTCTGGGTTCCTGTGGCTTGCAAAAGCTATGTGGGCGCGTACTGTAGGGAAACTCAGACTGCTGGACCTTTGTCCTGAGCAGCAAAGGGGATTTCTGCATTTGTCTTAGTGAACCCATTCTCTGGTTTTCATATTGCTAGTGCTAATGGGTTCCGGCTTCCAAAAGACCCAAGCAAGCCATGCTTTCTGATAGGCCCCGGCACAGGGATTGCTCCGTTTCGAAGCTTCTGGCAACAGCGTCTCTACGACTTGGAACAGAAGGGTAAGGAATTCATCTGCTTGGACTTAATGGCAGCCCAGTGAAGTCAACATCCGTCAACAGGGCCTGGCGCAGAGCTGCGGGCCAGGGCTGAGATAAAGCAACTGCTGGTGGTGGTGGTGGTGGTGGTGGTGGTGGTGGTGGTGGTGGTGGTGGTGGTGGGGAGTTTGGTGGTGGTGGTGGTGGTGGTGGTGGTGGGGAGTTAAAAGAGAGAGGTTGCAGAGGAGCTGCCCTGGGAGCTCCATGTTCAGAGCCAGGTTTTAAAACTAGGGGCCTCCAGGTGGACTTGGGCTCCCCCGGAATTATAGCTCATCTCCAGACTACAGAGATCAGTTCTCCTGAAGAAATGGATGCTTTGGAGGGGGACACCAATCTTCCCACTAAGCTTCACAGTGTCGTGAGCAGAAGTTTTATCTTGTGAGCGAAAAAAGCTAGTAGCTACATTTGACTATTGCATAACCTTGCAAAAATCTCAGAACAAATTCTTTTAAACTGTATTTAAACTATATTTTAAGAATAATTTAAACATTATAAGAGAAAATAGAATCAAGTCAACTTTCATTACACCAAATGTTGTCCTCTACAGGGGTAGACCAGGGGTAGAGAGCTCTACCCCATCCAGTATATTTGTACACCTGGCCTTGGACTGTTGCTCTGCGCTGCCCCTTAGAAAACATACCAGCACTGGGGGGGGGGGGGCTGCAGTCTGCTTTGGTTTGTTTTAGTGAAATATGACAACCAGCATTACAGGTCAAGTATAACAGAGCAGGAACAATCACTATCAGAACCCTGCCTAACCTAGCAAACAGGAAGTTGCTTAAATGTTATCAACCTGCCCAAACCACTTATTTATTCAGATATTTATATCCCACTTTTCCTTGTGACTCAAGGCAGCTTACAAATCATACTGAAAAGCATAACAGGGGCGTGGGGGGGGATCAATTTTTTCTGGCTCAACTATATCCTATGGGAACCATTATAGTCAAAGAGCCCCATAGGCTATGATGGAGAATTGATCCAGGGGTATCTGGTGCTCTGGGGGGGGGGCTGTTTTTTTAGAGGTAGAGGCACCAAATTTGCAACATAGCTGCTGGTGCCTCTGCTCAAAAAAACCCCTAAGCTTCAAAAAGATTGGAACAGGGGGTCCAATTCTGTGGGCCCCAGAAGGAGGTGCCCCCATCCTCCATTGTTTTCTATGGAAGCTTGGTTGTGAACTGAGCAGAAATCCTCTGAGTTGGCCTCTGAAATGTTGTGTGTGAGCACCCCCTAGTGCAGCTTAGAGGGAACTCTGTGTGTGGGGGGAAATCTCTGACTTTGTACACAACTGAGGCCCCTGCCTTCCCTGGGCTCCACCCCCAAATCTCCAGGAGTTTCCCAACCTGGAACTGGCAATGCTATGCCCCTCTCCCACGCCCTGGGCCAGGAGAGACTTGGCAACCCTATTGAAAACTTAATTTTTAGCACAATTCAAACTGGGACCGTGGCACAAAGTGTGGGCTGGTTATTCTACATGCAGCGGTTTAGATCAGGAAAATGGTATTGGTGGAGGCATACCCTCCCCCCCCCCAGTTCAGATCTGAGTCAGGGTGCCCCCTGTGACTGATGATAATGGAGTTAAAAAACATTGCTGTGAACCTGTAACTCCGGCGCACACCCAGTGCAGCTCCGGGTCAGACCACTGGCCTGTTCAGGTCACTCCTCAAGCTGGCTGCAGATCTTCAGGCTCGCAGGTCCAGGGGAGCTTCTCAAGCGTCTTTGAGCCAGTCGTGCCAGGGACTGACCCAGGCCAGGCTGACCTCGTCAGATCTCAGAAGCCAAGCAGGGTCAGCCTTGGCTAGTATTTGGAAGGGCAACCTCCAAGGAACACCAGGGTCGTGAGGCAGAGGCAGGCAATGGCAAAAACCACCTCTGAAACGTCTCTTGCCTTAAAGACCAGTCTAGCTCACCACCTAGTGGTCCACAACCAGAAACAGCCTGTGCCAGCCACATAAAGGACTAGGTCTACGGGCCGACCACTAAGATAGATCACTGAAAGATGGCCGCCATCGACTAATAATATTATTATTGTCAGTATTACTTAATGTTAGCACCTCATAATGTTGGACTGTTTTTATATGGTTTTAGGAGTGTTTAAATTGTTTACTTATGAGTTTTTATCCTTTTATGTAAGCCGCCCTGAGCCGGCTTCGGCTGGGAGGGCGGGGTATAAAATTGATAAATAAATAATAATTAAAAGAGCTAGAACGTGTGGCTGCCAGATAATCTTGGGATCTCCTGGCGATTCTACACACAATGCCGATACGATAACAAGAAGAAGAAGAAGCAGCTGTCCAGTTGATGGGGTGGGACAGAAATGTTTAGAAGTGGTAATACTCATGAGGATTTTGGCTGCCGGTTTTAGGCATCAAAGGGAGAGGCATGACGCTGTTGTTCGGCTGCCGGTGCTCCAACCTAGATCATCTTTACAAAGAAGAAGCTCAGGAGATGAAGAGGAGAGGAGTGCTCCAAGAGGTCTACACAGCTTACTCCAGAGAGGATGGTCAGCCCAAGGTAATCCTCATTTCATTTTGCTTTTTAGGAAAGGTACCAGCAACACTTTAGCCAAGTAACATGTGTTGTGTTTCCTAAGAAGAGCCCTGCTGGGTCAGGCCAGCAATCCATCGAGTCCAGCATCTTTTTCACACAGCAGCCGACAATGCTCCCTCTAAGCTGTGGAGACTTGTGAGCAAAAATTCTACTTTGTGAGCTGCTGGCATTAAAGATGTGAGCGAGCGATTTGGCTACTGCATCAATTAGTTTGCCATGGAGCCCCATCCTTCCTGAGCTGAGACAACAATGTGTGAGCCGGAGGCTAAAAGACTGTGAGCTAGGTCACACCGACTCAGTTTAGAGAGCCAGTTTGGTGTAGTGGTTAAGTGCGCGGACTCTAATCTGGGAGAACTGGGTTTAATTCCCCACTCCTCCACTTTCACCTGGCTGGATGGCCTTGGGCAAGAGCTCTGATAAGGAGCTGTCCTTGAAGAAGAGCAGTTTCTGTCAGAGCTCTCTCAGCCCCACCCACCTCACAGGGTGTCTGTTGTGGGGAGGGGAAGGGAAAGGAGTTTGTAAGCCGCTCTGAGACACCTTTCGGTAGTGAAGGGCCATGGGGTATAAATCCAGTCTCTTCCTCTCTCTTCTAGAGGGAACACTGGCATCAACTAGTTGACCTGGAGGGCCAACCGAGAGGGCATCAAAGCCAAGGCCTTCCCTGGAAGTGGCCTCCTAGCGCCGGGTGCCATCCTCGTCATCCCCAGAGCCATCCACGATCTCATGGTGCTGAGAGTGCAGTTCACACGAGGGGCCTGCCACCCGCTTGCCACTGGCAGGGGCTGGGATAGGGTTGCCAGCTCCAGGGCAGGAAACTCCTGAAGATTTGGGGGTGGAGCCTGGGGAGCACCGGGACCTCAGTGGGGGACAAGGCCATGTAGAGTCCGTCCTCCAAAGCACCCATCCTGATCTCTGTAGCGTGGAGATGGGCTGTAATTGTGGGGGAGCCCCACTCCAGGTCCCACCAGGAGGCTGGCATCCCTAGGAGTGTGCCCCGTGTGGCAGGACAAGGCCAGAAGAAGGACAAGAGGCTGACCCACCATTTTGGATCTTATTTATTTATTTATTAATCTCATTTGTACCCCACCCTCCCCGCAAAGCAGATCAGGGCGGCTCACAGTCGATGCATAAATACAATTAAAACAACATAAAATAATCTAAAAGCAGTTCGGTTATAACTAATACACATTCATAAAGTGCTGGTGATGGTTAATTAGTTGTTTGAGATGGCTTACTTTAAGAGGTCTAGCAGTCATTCTGCTCCTGGTCTTCCTGTGTCTCAGCTAGGTGTCAAAACCAAGGGCCAGGGCTCCATGGTGGTGGCAGCTCCCTAGCTGAAGAGCTCCGTCTTGCAGGCCCTGTGGAACTGCAAGAGATCTCGCAGGGCCCTGATCTCCTCCGGGAGCTCATTCCACCAGGACGGGGCCACCATTGAGAAAGCCCCGGCCATGGTGGTAGCGAGCCTGGCATCTTTGAGGCCTGGGAGGGTCAGTTGGTTTTGAGACCCCGACTCTGGGGCATATACGGGGATAGGCGGTCCCACAGGTATCTCAGACCCTGGCCATATAGGGCTTTAAAGGTAAGAACCAGCACCTTGAAGCAAATTCGGCATGCTGTTGGCAGCCAGTGCAGTGTCCTCAGCAAAGGCTGGATGTGCTCCCACCTGGGGAGACCCATCAGAAGCCTGGCTGCAGCATTCTGCACTAGCTGTAGCTTCTGAATTTGCAACAAGGGCAGCCAAATGTACAGAGCGTTACAGTAGTCTAATCTTGAGGTGACCATTGCATGGATCACTGTTGCTAGGTTGGCACGGTTGAGGAAGGGAACCAGCTCCCTAATCAGCCATAGATGGTAAAAGGCCGACCCGGCAGTGGTTGCTACCTGGGCCTCCATTGTTAAGGAGGCCTCCAAGAGCACTCCCAAACTCTTAACCTCCGGCGCTGACACCAACGGCGCCCCATCGAAGGTCGGGAGTGGGATCCCTACCCTCGAACCGCCCCGACTCAAGCACAGGACCTCCGTCTTCGCCAGATTCAGTTTCAGCTGACTCAGCCTAAGCCAACCAGCCACAGCTTGTAATGCCCGGTCCAGGTCTTCCAGTCTGGAGTTGGACCGGCCGCCCAACATCAGATAGAGCTGGGTGTCATCAGTGTACTGGTGACATCCCAGCCCATGCCTCCAGGCAATCTGGGCAAGGGAGTGCTTATAGATGTTAAATAGCATCGGGGAAAGCACTGCCCCTTGGGGCACTCCACATTCTAGTGGGTACCTCTTGGACTGCTGTTCCCCTTTGTCCCCGACCTTGGAGAAAGGAAGCGAGCCATTGTAAGGCAAGCCCCTGGATTCCTATGTCGGCGAGGTGGCAGACCAGTAACTGATGGTCGACTGTGTTGAACACCGCCGACAGGTCCAACATCAGCACCACTGATCCACCTCGATCCAGATGCCTTTGAAGGTCATCTGTGAGGGCAACCAGTGCCGTCTCCCTCCCTTGACCAGCGTGAAAACCGGACTGGAAGGGGTCTAAAATGGAAGCGTCATCCAAAAAGCTGTGTAATTGGATCACCACTGTCCTCTCTATTAATTTGCCCACATAGGGCAAATTGGAAACCGGCAGATAGTTGGCCAGTTCAGCCAGATCCAGAGATGTTTTTTTCAACAGACCACTGCTTCCTTAAGCACCCCAGGGAACTGTCCCTCAACGAGGGATTTGTTGTTAATCTCCCGCAAGGTGCCTCAAAACCGTTGCAGCCGGCTTTGGTTAGCCATGACAGGCACGGATCAAGGCAGCATGTGGTGGGACGAACAGCTAGGAGCCGTTTGTCAACTTCCTCTAGGCTGAGTGGGTCGAAATGATCCAGAACCAGAATCGAAGACGTGCGTGGAGCCTTGAGCTTGCTCACTGCATCAACTGTGGCGGGGAGGTCGCGGCGGAGCAACAAGACATTATCCGCGAAACAGCTCGCACATGCCTCACAGCCCATGTCCAGTTCCCTAGCATTTGGTCTGCCCTGTGGCAGAGTGGTTATAGACCGAATTGTTCGAAGTCTTCTTGTTGATGAGCTCTTGGCTAGGGATGCTCGTACATCTGCAGGTTGGGCTCACATATCCTGTTGGGCAGCTGTGAACAGGGAGCTGCTTTCTCGACGGCCTGCTGGTTGACCGTGCTTGGCCGACAGCTGCTTCAGCGTTTTCCTTCCTAACGCTACAGTGCAGAGCCGTCAGCTTTTGGGTCGCCTTCTGTGACACGACCCAGTGGAGTCCTGGCTCCCCCGACCCACCTTTGCTGCGCCACTGCCTGGCTCAGCAGGCCCTTGGTTAAATAACAGCTAAATCTGTCATGAGTCACAGAAAATAACAACAACAACAACAACAACTGTTGTGTTTAAGAGAATCCCACCATTCAGTGTTCACTGTAGTGACGTTGGTAGCAGCTGATCTGTTTTTGTGCATGTGCAGTTCTGAAGAAAATCTGAGACCCACCTGCTCAGCAGGCATTCACAGATTTCAGGTGGGGCAATTTGCTTGTGCACGATCATCACAGTTGAAGAACACATGGTCAGCTGCTGAACGTCGGAGGGAGGGAGACAACCCCAGGCCCCCCTCCTTCTCAGTCCCCCACATAGGGTTAAGCCCAGCATCCACCAGGTCTAGTGGGGTGACCGATGCACCCTGCAAAAGTCCACACACTGGCCAGCTCATCAATCGCCAGTGGCCCTTTAAGCGTCAGGCACCCACTGACAGCTGGCCCTTTGGCAGCCATCTATCTGTCTGGAAGCTCCGCCCAGTGGGGAGAGATTGCTGTTGGGCCCTCACAGATGTGGTCACACCCCTGTAGGGCTTTTAGGTAGAGGCAGGCGGGAGGGGCGGCGCCAGGTCCTTCAAAAGGCTTGAGGGAGGATGCCAATGAGGAGAGACCAGCTCTCGGTCCCTGCTCATCCAAAGGCCCAGCTGCTTCTCCGGCTGGTTTCCTGATCCAGATATATGTTTTAAAATGTTTATTGTTTGTCTTGATGCTTTTGGCAACTCCCTCATCAAAATATCTTTTTGCATGCCTCATTATTGACTTGCATTTTTTTTGCCAGAGCCTGTGGTCCCTCCTGCTCAATTCATCGGGGCAGACTTTCCACATTTAAAAAGAAGCCCCTTTACTTTTTATAGCTTCCTTGACTTGTTTTGTTCACCATGCAGGCCTTCTTTTAGACTTGGCAACACCTTTCCTAACCTGTGGGAGGCATTTATTTGGGCTTCCATTTGTGTGGTGTTAAATAGCTCCCAAGCATCCTCTAGGGATTCGACTCTCTTGTGGTTTCCCCGTTCAGCTTCCTTTTAATAATTCCCCTCATTTTTGCTTGCTTGCTTTGAAAACCCCTTGCTGGGGTTGCCATAAGTCAGCTGATGGCCCTTTACACACACGCACACTCTCTCTCTCTCTTCATGTGTTGGCAGGGGCTGGGCTTGATGACCCTGGCGATCCCTTTCCAACTCTGAGATCACATTAACATCCAAGATATCCCGCACCGCTCCACAGAATCCCATTTGAAAACTAACACCCTGCAGAAACTATCCCAATACTTGTTTCATCTTCAAAGGTGTGAACAGTTTCTTGTGGATTACCAAGGATCATCAAGGATATGTCAAGGCTACATAATTAAACTGGCTTGAAACAGTAAACCGGCAGCTGCCAGAAGGGAGAGGCGTGCTCCTGGCTTTCTTAAAGAATGGGTCTGGAGCCTGTCTCCACATATGGAGTGTGAGCTGCTGAGCCTGTTATAGAATGACACATACGCCATTTTGGACTGACGTGCCATTTTCTCTCAAGCTCAGGGGCTTTATTTTGTATATTTAAAATTGTAATGCTTTAACTTGTAATCTGTAAGCTGCTTTGAGCCATGAGGGAAAGCAGGATAGAAATAGTTGAATCAATTGAGCAGTAAAAATGTGTGGCCCCCCTCAGCCCAGAGGAGACTGGTGGGTTTCTGTGACCTTCCCCAAGTTCCCTCCCCTGCCCTCCGAGGAGCAGTTTTTCTAGTTAAAAACAGAAAAGGGGATCATACTCTTTCATAAACGAAGCAGCAGGGCACCAAGCTCATGCTTTATCATCTTAACCTTGCATGGCCTTTTAGTCCTGCCCTCAAAAGGAAGGCGTGAGGCCTGAGGTCGGGCAAAGGGTGAAGAGGGAAGTCCTCACTGAGCTGAGGAGTGAGGGTGTCATTTGAGAAGCAAAAGAGCAGAATCACGGAACTTGTCCAGGAGCAGCCAAAAAACACGGACCACTGTTTATTTGTAAACATGTCTGAACGGTGTCCCTACTTTTGCAAGCCTGCTTGATCATTTTTTAAAAAAATGTTAACTGTCAGGCTGTTGAGCCTAGGACAGGAAGGGTCACGGCAGCTCATCTGCTGCACCCCTCAGATGACAAAACCTGGACCGCTGAATCGCTTCTCTGTTTGGTGTAGTGGTTAAGTGTGTGGACTCTAACCTGGGAGAACCGGGTTTGATTCCCCACTCATCCACTTGCACCTGGCTGGATGACCTTGGGCAAGCCATAGTTCTGTCAGGGCTGTTCTTGAAAAAGAGCAGTTTCTGTTGGAGCTCTCTGAGCCCCGCCTACCTCACAGGGTGTCTGTTGTGGGGAGGGGAAGGGAAAGGAGTTTGTAAGCTGCTCTGAGACTCCGAGTGAAGGGTGGGGCATAAATCCAATCTCTTCTCCTTCTCCTTTCAGGTCTACGTCCAAGACCTTCTTCGGACCAGACTCAATGCGGATGTACACCGGCTGTTACATGAGGAGAAAGGCCACCTGTATGTCTGTGGAGACGTCTGCATGGCAAGGGACGTGGCACAAACTTTGAAGGAGATGTTTGCGAAGCGGCTGGGCCTGACGGATGAGCAAGCGGAAGACTACGTCTTTCAGCTGAAGGTTTGTCACTCCGATTGCTACCAAATTCAACTCTGAAGACACTTCATGTTGGGATGTGGGATTCTGGTGTCTGACATCACACAGCCCTGTTTTCAGGTGTGACCACACAGTGCTTGAGTGGCTTTGTTAATCTGTTTCTTGACTTCATTCAATGGATACTTTAGTTCCAGAAAGGCTTGTTGTAGATCCCTCAGTTGAGAATCTCAGTCTGTAGGATTGGAGCAGATGCAGCTGTAGCATAGAGCCTGGCTATGTACAATTAATTGTTTGGTATGTTTAGGATGGTTTAGGCTGGAGGCATGTGGATATGTTTGTCGGTCAGTAGGTTTCCGGTATGAGAGGGACTGAAGCATGTGTGGCAAGATTCTTTTTTATAACCTTGGCTTTTTTTTTGCAGAGACAAAAACGCTACCATGAAGACATTTTTGGGGCTGTGTTTCTGCATGAGAGCCAAACTGACTCCGAAGAATCAAAATCCAACTGCAACACTTCCAGTGCAAGATCTCAACCACAGCTAACCTTTTAGCCATACATTTTGAACATGAATTCCTGTTTCACACTTTGGAAGGCCAAGTTCTGCTTTCCTTCAAAGACAAGATTAGTTGCCTACGTGGAATGAATGAGCAGGATTTGGCCTTTTAACGAAAGCATACATTATGTTATTTAATTCTATTTATTCTGTAAATGCCCTCTAGTGTCTATATATTTTAATAGAAGTTTAATAATTAAATTGACTTTTTAAAAATGTGTATTCTTGGATAACGGCTTGTAAATTGGTTCCTTTTCTAAAAATTGACATGTAAGCTGAAATCAGATTTCGGATTTCTATTTTTCGGAATAAGCAGGAGAGAAACCCTTATGTGGAATGTGCTCCTCTTGCTATACTAGCATCTGTGTATTGATACTAGACTTGCACTGTAAATAGAGAGTGGTTTACAGGCATCATGGATCCAGGGCCGTTTAAGGTTCTAACCCAACCCTCAGTTAAGCGTTCTGAAATCCACTGGTGTCTAACTGTGCATTGTATTACAAACCTTAAGACTTCCACAAGAGTCAAAAAATGGGTCATATTGGCCTTGTGTTGAATCCTGTAGTGTTAGGCCTCGACCCCCCTCCTCCCTTGGAAGGACGAGTCTGGTACCTATAAACAGGTGACACAGGCAACCTTCCCTTTCTGAGTATCACACCAGGTCACTCACTCAAGACTCTTCCTTGGTTTGCAAATAGCATCGAAATAGGTCCTAGAGTCACATGGAATGTGTGCCATCAATTATTGACCAGAGGCCTGTTTGAAAAAGGTGCAAAGGTCTGGTTTTTGGCAGTTCTGTTCCTTCTTTAAATCCATTAAAGGTTGATTTCTCAGGAAAGGCAGTAACACTAACTAAACCATTCCCCCACCTTGCCTTCCCTTGCCTGGTTATCTTATGTGAATCTATAGTCAAAACCATTTTAATCCCATTAACACCCCTTTGTAATGATTTGCTGTCCTAGCAATTAAGAGTTCACCAAAAACACAATAGATATTTTTCACACGGGAATTTCGCATGAACGTTACATTCACAAGCCCTGGGAATGCGATGAAGCTTTCTTGCCGTTCTAACATAAGCCTTGTTCTAGGAGCATCTACATCACGCCCCAAAAGGCTATAACCAGAGCCACCCTCTGTCCAGGGGAGTTTGTGCATTATCTGGACATCCACTAAATTTACACCCCTGACATGAAGTTGGGTAATTCTTCTCTGAGTGGAATGCTGGTTCGTTTCGCTTATCTTTCTCCCTGAATCTCTGCTCCTTGGATAGGTAAATATAGGCCCATAAAATGAGTTCCCCTCTCTGTCTCTATAAGCTACCACCTTTATTTTCTGAACTTGTGTGTTTATAGTGTGCTCTTCGATTAATAATTCTTTGATTTTATTCTTTAATTCTCTTTAATAAAAACCATTTCATTAATAACGCCCTGGTTCATTTTGAGAGTTCTGAGGGGAAAATCCGCGTATACATAGGTGGCGATCCTGCTTGATTACCTGCTCTTGCATTGTTTGGGTTTCCTGGCTAATTCCCCAAGAAACTCAGGAGACCCTCACAACCATCTAGGGCAACAGTAGGAGAAGTTCTCCCCCCCCCCCGAACTGATTTCTCTTATAAAAGAGAGAGAGAGAAACCTTCAATGTGGGCAAATCCTAGCAGGGCAGAAGAACTTCCTAATGTTCAGCCTCCCCTCCATCCAAACTGCAAACCTGTGCTGGTTTTCTGTGACACCAACCGGCCCGCCCCTCATGGAATCCCGGGAGGGCTGCTGCAGATTACTAGCAAATGCCTCCGCCGCAGAAACGAGTATCCCCCCCCCCCGGGGTTCCCTGGAGGAGTGGGTGTGTGATTTGAGGGCATCTGCACCCCACCTTTCTGCCATCAAGGGACACGCACACAGAAACACAACCAAACCTAATTCCTCCAGCTCAAAGCAAAACAGAATCAAACCTAGCAGTGACATCTTCAAAAAAATCAAGAGATCCCCTGCACAGAATTTTAAACCATGGGGAAAGAAACCAAACATTACACCCGAAAGCAGGTAGCTCCACACATGACTGGAAACGAATGCCTACCCAGCCACTTTTCAGTCTGTGGGGGGTAGACGTGCCACAAGTCTACAGTTGGCGCTCACCATTCTCACCCACTGAGGTTTCCAGTCCATCTCCTTCTTGCTGTGCTGGACAACCCAGTCTCTAGCTCCACACTTGATTGCACACCAGCTAAATAAAATCAAAGCACAGTGATAACTGGCTAGACAAGAAACCCGAGTCTTGTGCCACACACTGACCGTGCTGTTGAGTCTATCAAAGTCTACTTAATCTGCACACAGCCTTGCAAGCTGCCCCTTCAGAGATAGGCACACTTTAATCTCTGCATTCATTGTGTGGAAACAAAAAAATGTGTCAAGAACGTGGACAGAGATATCCCCACAACTATATATTGATGGGCAATCAGTGTGATGGAAATTGTTTCACACAATGGATAATTAACCAGTGGAACTCACTTCTACAGGATGTAATGATGGCCACTAGTTTAAGGGATCTTAAAAGAGGAGTTAACAGCTTCACGGAGGATCAGTTCTTCAATGGCTACGATATATGATGGCTCAATGGAACCTCCATGTTCAGAAGCAGAATATCTCTGCATACCAGTTATGGGCAGCAACAAGAAGGGGGAAGCTTGTGAGCTTCCTGGGACACCTGGTTAGCCACTGTGGGAAAGAGAGTGTGGGATCAGATGGGGATTTGGTCTGACCCTGCAGAACTTCTTATCTGTTAATGTTCTTTAACTCACTCTTCCTCCAAAGGTCGCTCTGGTCAAACTGACAGCCACGGACTCCTCTTCTCACTGGGAAGGGCCCAGCTGAGGGAGGAGGGGCAAATTCTTGCTGCTTCCGGGGCCTGGCAGCAGGAGAGGCCGTTCTTGGGAGTCGCCAGTGGGCCGTTCCAGAGGTGGTGGGTGACTGCTGCCCAAGGGTGCCGCTGGCCCCTGAAACCAGCCTTGGTGCTGCCAGAGGTGGCCCTAACCAAGACTGTCAAAGGGTACAACCTCACCGGTTTAAGGCTCTTCAGGTTCCCTCCTGATGCAGGCACACAGACACAGGCATCAGGGGATGGCAATAAACTCATTTCTTTTATTTGGGGTGATAACTGCAGCAAGAAATAAAGCAGTGCACACATTCCCACCCTTCTGACACTACCAGTTTATATCCTGGTGGGACACACGACCCCCCCACCCCTCCCTTGACACCAAACGCTCTGGAGGGAGAATGGATGACTTAAGCCTGGACTGCACTCAGCGAAACGTCCCCCTCAATCTCCAGCCGGTCCACCTTCCGGAGGTCAGCCGCTCGGTGGTTGTAATCAAACTGATGCTGCCCGTTCACGGCCACTCGGAAACACGCCTGCTCACACAGGATCCAGATCTGGAAAGAGGAAGGGGAGGGAAGAGCCACAGGGCAGCCACGCTTAGACTCTGTCCTCGGGTCAGCAGAGCGGTCATCCCCACCCTCTCGCTCGAGATTTCAGCTAAGTTGGGACTCATAACAAAATATTTGGAATTAGAAAACCAACTGTATACTGCTTGTCTTAAAATATCAACTCATAGAATCACACAGAGCTGGGAGGGGCTGGAAGGGGCCATCTAGTCCAACCCCATCTGCTCGATGCAGGATCAGCCTAGAGCAGCCCCGTAGCTAAGGACATTTTAGGGAGGGGGCCTGGGGGGGCACCTGCTAATCCAATCAAAGGCTCCAGGTCAAGGGCTGCAGCAGCCACAGCCTCTAGGTCCAGCTCCCCCCCCCAAGGAGCCCCAATGCCTCTTCCCGAGGCACAGCACCAGGGACAGCCTCTGAAATCACTGCCCTTGTCCTCCCTGCCAACAGGCTGACAGTCAATCGTGGAGCTGGGGTAGGGGAGCCAAGGCTCAGGAAGGGGGCCCATTAAAACTGCTAGGGGGCCAGGCCCCGCGGGCCCAGCGTTAGCTACGGGCCTGGCCTAGAGCATCCCTGGCAAGTGTTGGTCCATCTGCTGCTCACCACCTCCCGAGGCAGCTGATTCCACTCCTGCACAACTCTGACTGTCAAAAGGTTTTTCTTAATATCCAGCCGGTACTTTCTCTGCCCTTAATTTAAACCCGTTCTTGGGAGCCCTGTCCTCTGCTGCCAACGGGAATGGCTCCCTGCCCTCCTCCTCTGAGTGACACAGCCCTTCAGATCCTTCAAGAGAGCACTCACGTCCCCCCTCAGCCTCCTCTTCTCCAGACTGAACTTTCCCAGGTCCCTCAGCCTTTCCTACAATATAACCACACTTAGCGTTTATCTAGTCCTGCCAGTGGGCAAAAGCATGGCCCAAAGCCACCTTCACACATGACATTTTAAAGCGTTTTTCAGCCCTCCTGCTGCTATTGGTGCATGCACAGGAAACAATGGAAAGGCATGGGTTTGCTTGTGTGTAAGTTGTCGAGGAGGGCTGCGGTGGCTCAAGTGCTTAAGACACTGAACAGCAGTTTGAGACCCAAGTGTGCCGCATGACAGAGTGAGCTCCCGTCTCTGGTCCCAGCTCCTGTCAGCCTAGCAGTTCGGAAGCAAGGAATCGCAAGTAGATAGATAGGTGCTGCTTCGGTGGGAAGGTAACAGCGTTCCGTGCGCCTCGGCATATAGTCATGCCAGCCACATGACTACGGAAACGTCTTCAGGACAGTGCTGGCTCTTTGGCTTGGAAACGGAGATGAGCAGCACCCCCTAGAGTCGGATTCGACTGGCTTTCGAGCAAGGGAAACCTTTACCTTTACCTAAGTTGAGTCTACGAGGTTGGATCCTGTGGGAAATTTCTGCCGTCGAAAGCAGGGTCGCCCATTTCTGCTGCAGGCTGCCAAACCCCCCCCCCCCATGCTTTTCCCGCTAGTTACCTGGAATCTCTTCCACCACTGGAGATTCACTATGGGATTCAATCATAAGACACAACCGCAGCAAGGGAAAACACAGTACCAAAGAACCCCACTAAAAACTGTGCGCAGATTAAAACCTAGGAATGCCACCATGATAAAGTGTAGATGGGCATTTGCAGTTTCCCAGAGAAATAAGTCAAAGCTCTACCAAAAGGGCTCCCCCACTTACAGTGAATGCCTGCCCCGGGTGCAAAGGCATGCCCCCTGGCAGGTGGCGCTCCTCCGGCCCCCAGCAGCCACCGAACTGCGAGTTCCGAACGATCACCTGCTCACTGAAACGGGGGTTGAGGTGGAATGCCGTGTCCGGCCCCACTTTGAGGTTGATATGGAACCTAGGCATCACACAAGGAGAGAGTATCTTGTGGGAGGGGCAGTAGTGATGGGGTGCAAGACCCTTCAAGAAAAGGGGAAAGAGACAGACTTTGGGTGTCAAACAACAGATGACAACAAGCCAGGCCTATTCTCACGGATCACAGAATGCACAGATGTCAGCCAGGTTCCTTGAGAACAGCACTCTGTGCTTAAAAGCCTCACACCGGGCACATCTACAGTGGATGCATCCCTGCCTTACACTGAGTCAGACCTCGCTCAGTGCAGGTCAGTCTTGTCTACGTTGATTGGCAGCAGCTCTCCAGGGTCCCCCCCCCCCCCCATGCACGGCTCGGCTCAGATACTGAAGATTTCCTGGAGCCCAAGCAAGCCAGCCAGGTCTCTCACTATAGCAGGGGGGGGAAACCATGCAAAAATTGCCCGTGCTCTGACAGCATGACATTACTTCCAGTGCAAACCTGGAAGTGACATCAGGCCGCTGGAGCAATGGTGTTCTAGATGTCTCTGCCCACCGAGCCTCCTGCTAGTTGCTGGCGCTCACTTGGCAACTGTATTCTCAAGACTGCCCGAGGGTCTTCTGCCAACAGACAGGAATTTCCGTAAGTTCATTGTCTCAGTTTAGAAGGAAGAGCACAAACCATCGTTTTTCATTTCATCTAGTGATGAAAAGCTAGGCTTCCCGGAAGGCTGAGCTGCGCATCAGGGAGAGGCAAGGAGCACTGTTCCCTCTACGCTGGGTTAGCGTGAGCTAGCTCACAATTTTTTAGCCTCCAACTCACCCATTTTTGTCTTCGCTCAGGGAGGACAGCTCCAGAGCAAACTAATTCATGCAGCAGCCAAATCGCTCGCTCACAACTTTCATGCCAGGAGCTCACAAAGTAGAACTTTTGCTCACAAGAAGGCTCCACAGCTGAGAGGGAGCCCTACTGGCAAGGGAAGCACACAGTCCTCTAAGGACTTCACAGACTTGCTCTCATAAGCCACAAACCCTGTTGGGTTCATGATGACTGACTGATGCCTCTTTCTTGAGGGTTTCCTGGATTTCTTACCTGATAGCTCCAGGAGGTACAGTTCCCGATACCATAATAGATTTGGATGGGAAAAGGCCTCCAAAGAGTGAAGCTTGATAAGGGACAGACTGTGGAAAGAGGAGAGAAAATTTAGGTCAAACCTACCTTTTTATTCAGGTTTTCCTTTTCAGTCAACCCTGCCTGTGGCTTTGTATTCAGACTCAGAAAATTTGAAAAAATGTTAGGCAACCAATCAGTTTTGAGTAATGAATAAAGTCTGCATAAACGTGCATGCTAATATTAATAAAACAGTACATTTGAAGAAAAATTATCTTGTTTTTAAACGAGGTGTGTATGACAGGGACAGTTTCTGAGGAGGCATGCCTCTTCTAAAAGGACAAATCAGAAACTGGGACCCTGGTGTAAGAAAAAAGTTAAAAAAACAACCAACACTGTGTTGCTGCGCTACAAGGATCTAATGAGCACAATATGCTTACAAAGAATTTTCAGTAATATAATTACAGGAAACTTTCAAAGATACAAGGCTGTTGACATGAACAGCCACTATTTGTAACGTCCATTAAAAACCTTGAAGATGGCAGAGATTCATGATAGCAGCAGTGAATACTTTCACAGTGACATCCACCAGACAGGCATCCAGATGAACACCTGTTTTGTTGTCTTCTTCTTCGGCCACTCCTTACACTGATAACAGTTGTATTAACATGGAAGGAGGCCAGTCTCATCAAGTTCCCAAGCTAACCACTTTTAGCCAGCACAGGTACGGTCAGCTTGGCATTCAAAATGTGCTCCTGCCTCTTGAAAAAGGAAACCTGATGTTTGTGGCTGCTTATATCAACGCATCTGTATCCTCGGAAACAGAAGGGCTAAGCAAAGGCCTGCTGGAGCAATTCCATCCTGTACGTGGCAGGTCCCGCAGGGCACGTGTCTCCCCTAATAAAGCATTCCACCAGGGTGGTGCTATGATGGGAAAAGCCTGCGCCCTGATGGAAGCACGACAGACTCCCCCCCCCCCCCGGACCAGGAACTGTCAAAAACTTGCGAAAAAATCAAGCGGCACGGGGGGGGGTTATGCTGGGAAAGGCAGCCCTTCAGCACCTTGAACCTAATCCGGGAACAAATTGGCAACCAGTGCAGGTACCTCAGGATTGGCTGTATATCAGTCGGTCAACAGCCTGGCAGCTGCATTCTGGATTACCTGAAGATTCCAAAGTACCCCCAAGGGCAGCCCTGCACAGAGCACATTGCAGTAGTCCAGCCTGGCAAGGATCACTGTGGCAAGACCAGGCTGGGCCAAATAGCTGGCAGGCTTGGAATAGAAAGGTAAACGCTGACCTCGCCACTGTGGACACTCGCTTGCCCAAAAGAAGCGAGGAATCAATCCATAACCCACCCACCCCCAGCTTTTCATGGAGTCCACTGGACTGAACAGGAGCTCAGGTTTTTGTTTTTTTTAAACAGGAGCTCAGTTGCTCACCCCATTAGTGCCACCGGTTGTAAAAGACCCACAACGGTCCAGAATTCTCTCTGTCACCTTCAGCCGTTCCAAATGCACCTTCTACATATCCATCCCACACCAACGCGCCATTATCATGATGCAGAACACACTTACGTAAATCTGTGGCTGTAAATATGGCCCAGGTGGGAAAGTGGCACTCTGCTGTTAACAGAATAGAGATAATGACTCTTAAAACATTTTTTAAAACGTTTCTACCTAACACAGTGTGCTTAATAAAAATCACACACTGTTCCAAAACTTGCAGCGTCCCATCATTTTTTGTTTGTTTGTTTTAAACTTTTCAGCAAGCTCTTCTCAGCTGCCAGTGTTGATTGCTATATTTTGGCATGGAGACAGACCAGAAGTTTTAAGAGATTTAAAGTGGTTTGAGCAATTGTTTGCTTCCCATGGTACACATATGTGTTTTCTTGGGCCCCATTGTTGCCTCTGGTCAAATAGATCCAGCAGGTTTATTTTTAAAAAATCAAAAAAAACATACAAAACTTGTTTAACCAGAGGACAAACAGGACAAGTAGGCACACCAGAAATAGCAACGCCCCTTCCAAACTTTCTCATTTCTATGGAGGGCAGAGGTCATTTCGGGGGGGATCGCGGGGGATCACAGTTCCCCCGGGTGAGGTACGGGGGCGGGGCACATGACGAAGCCCCCCCCCCTGCTTCCGGCCGCCCTGCTTCCGGCCCTCATTCAGCCAGGAGGAGGCAGGAGAAGAGGGAGGGTAAGTTGCTTCCTTCCTGCCTCTCCCCACCCCTGCCTGCCTGGGGCCAGGGAGGGCCTTCGCGGGGCTTCCTTGCACTCCTGCCGGCCTTGCAGGTCCACCGCCGGGCCCCTCATGGGGCTCGGCAGTGGAGCTGCAAGGCCAGCGGCGGCGGCCGGGACCGTTGGGGGCAGGGTGTGTGGCCTTATGACACACCTCTGTTGATGTCAGGGTGTGTGGCCTTATGACACACTTCCGGTGATGTCAGGGGGTGTGGCATATGCTAATGAGTTATGCTAATGAGTCCCCCTAGCTCTTTTTCTACGAAACGACCCCTGATGGAGGGGAAAACAAATACCTTGGAAGACAGAAATGACATTCAGATGTTGGAATGGCACAGTGAAACTTACAAAATAAATTCACTGGAGACAAATGGAAAGTTCTGCATCAAAACAAAACCAACACCAACCAAAAGCACAGGCAGAGGATGTGGGATACCTGGCTGAGCAGTGGGTGTACATAAAAATATCTTGGGATTGCAGTCAGTTACAAGCTGAAAATGAGCCAGCAGTGTGATGCAGCTGGAGAAAAGGCTAATGTGATTTTAAGGTGAAGTGGCAGAAGCCCTTTTTAGGTGATACGTCCAGCCAGGCATATGGGGTGTGCATAATCACCCAGGGTATAATGACCCAAGGCTGAAAAAACATGTCTTTTATCTGTCAGACAAAATGGCGATCACATTTAGTAGGAGGATTGCATATAGCACATTCTCTCTGTATGTGCAAATCGAATGTATCACTTTAAAGACCATTAAAAGCAATATTTCTGCTTCATCCCATGCTAATAGGATCTCTTCTAGAGAACTGCTTTAAGAAAGACATGGACAAACTGGAATGGGTTCAGAGGAAGGCAACAGAGATGGTCCGGAAAAACAAGTCCACTGAGGGAAGACTGAAGGAACTGGATATGTTTTAGCCTGGAGAACAGAAGGCCAACGGGTTGATGCTTGGATTCCTCAGACACCGGAAGGGCTGTCATGTGGCCGAGGGCAAGGCCTAGTTCTTTGCTGCTTGCAGGTTCCAAACCAGATCCAACAAGCTTAAATTACAGGAGGGCAGATTTTGGTTGAACATCAGGAGAACCTTCGTAACGGGGAGAGGAATTTGACAGTGGAACCAGCTAGCTAGCAAGAGGGGTAGACTCTCCCAAGCCGGAAGGTCTTCACACAGATACTGGGCAGCCGTCGATCAGAGAAGCTCTAGCTTGGGATATCCGGTGCAGATCAGGGGGCTGATGGCCGAGAAAGCCCCTTTCCACTCTAGGATTCTATGTCTCCATGGTAATCGTCTATCCACAGCCGTCCAATGAAAGGGATTCACATCTACCAAAACAACGGCCACCATTAAGATGGCAGCACTGAGCATGAATTGCTCCCTGCAGCTCATTTTCTGTCTTTATCTGGATGGGCAGATGACAGAGGAGGATCAGACAAGAGTGGCCACATTGGGCACACAAGACTCTGTCTTGCCCAGGGTGTACCCATACCTATCTTCAGGAAGTCTATTGTCTATACACCCATCCCTGCAGGGGGGGAACATAATAACTACACCCCCAGGACAAATCTGAAAGGAAAAGATCTTCCATCAACAAGAAAATTTTGCAACTCACATTATAGCACATTCCCAGCGGGAAAGCAGCATTCGTCTGAAAAGATGAAAGGAAGTCTGCATCAGCAAATGCCACCACCAAGGAGCCCCCGCTAGATGGCAGCAGCAACGTATGAAAGGATGAAGTTGTTGTTGTATCTAGCCATCACTATTGTTTGATACGGTTTTATAATAATGGTTGTGTAACTTGTTTAAGCTTGAATTTATTTGTTACTCCAATTATTTTCAATAAAGTTTGTTATTAAAAAAAATAAAATATAAAAATTTCGTAAAAAAACCCCCAGTGCAGTATCATTAAAAAAAAGGAAGAAGTTGTTGCTCTATTAACCCCAATGTGGCTGGGAAGAGCTCAACAGCTCCAATGAGACGACCCCCCCCCATTTTTGCACTCAAGTTATTTTGCTACTGCCCACCTGCCAGCAGAGACAGAAAGCGGAAGAGGCTTCCCTGCTCAAACGGTGGCTTCTTCGCAATGTTAACCCTCCCAGGCCATCCGCCTGCTGCACATCAGCGTCACCGGAGGCTCCTCCTGAAGGCTACTTTGAGAGGGAGGGAGACGGGGGGGGCGTCCCTTTGCCCCACGTCCTCCACACCATTTGGTCACTTCACAAATCTTTCGCCTCTTCCCTCTTTCTCATCTTTTCCTGCCACTCTGAAAAGCCCCAAACGCTGGTTCCTCCCGGGTGTCCCAGACCCTCGGCTGAACGCGTGAAGCTGCCCTGTGCAGAGTCAGACCACCGGTCAAGCGAGGCCCACGTCAGAGTGGCTGGGGCTCTCCAGACTCTCCGGCGGGCAGCCCATCCCGTCACCTCCTTGCTGGTCCTCTTAACTGGAGACACCACCGGGGACGGACGGACGGACGGAGCGTGGGATCTTCTGCCAGCTAAGCCACTGCTCTTCCCCTCACCCTCTTAGGCACCTGCTCCCTTCTCTGCAGTCTCTTTTCTGAGATGGGGTAACCAGGACTGTATACACAGTATTCCACATGCAGCTCCACCATAGATCTATACGGCAGTTCCTTTTCAGCTCTTCCCTAAATAATCTCTAGTATCTAGTTTCCCCCCACCCCGGTCCCACTGCTTTATGCTAACTCAGTCCTATACATCTTTAACGTGTTGAACATTCCATTACTCCCATAAGGCTGGTCACTGCTGTTCCCATTTTGCAGAGAGAAACCCGAGGTTTGGAGGTACTGACACACGCAATGGCAGAAGAGCCCATTCAAAGAGACAAGAAGGAACTGCCGGATTCGGGGGGGGGGGGGAGAGACCCTTACCATTGCTGCTGCTTGAGCAGTCCAAATATCTGGAGTCTGAGCGATATGAAATAAAAACATGTGATGCAATTTTATAAATTTATACATATGAAATTAAAAGTGTGCTTGGTTTTGAAGACTGTACCTGTATAGTGCCAGAGTTGAGAGGGGGTTGGTAAGACCCCCTGTCACTGGCACACTCATTTTTAAAAATTTCTTTTAAAATTTATACCCAGGATAGCTTGTAACCTCTCATATAACCAATTAGAACAGTTGCAATACCAAATACAAGAAAAACACATTTCCAATGACTGCCAAATCACTGCCAACTAAGACGTTTTGCGTCCTCTGCAAGAAACTAGTCACGAAGGAACTTTCCACATCCTTTGAAAGCCGTTCCCCAACGTGGGGGGCCACAGCCAAGGAGAACCAGGAATCTAATTTGCCTTTCTGGCTAACCAGCAGCATCCACAGGGCCTGAAAGCAGGATCCAGCCTGGTGCGGAGGGGGGTCCTTTTGGGTGGGGGTGGGTGGAAAAAAAAGTGGCAAGGGCCCATCCAGGTTTTGGAGTACTGATGTTCTTTTAAAAAACCCACTGGGGAACGGGGAAAGTCGGTACACCATCAAATTGGACGAAATGCGGGTGGTCTCTAATTTCCCCCTGAAACACCTCCAAATATGAACACAGACTGCCAGGGGAGGGAAGGAAGGAAAGGACAACATTCAGAGTAGTATCCCCCCTCCCCCTCCCCCCTGTAACTCTGAAACTACTACTTACAGAAGGGCCCTGGAAGCTAATGGAAGCCACCTCCAGGTCCCCCGAGACAGCAATGGTGTTCACTCTGGAAATGGGGATTCTGTGCATGAACTCCAAGTAATGCTTCCCATTCACAGCAACCTGCAACATGTGGGAATGGGGAAGGGAGAGATGGACTCTTGGTAATCCCAGCAAGAAGATGGGATATTCTGAGCTTTGGGTTGTTGTTTTTTTGAAAGCGGGACCCCCACAGGCTCCTTCCACTTCTCCTGGGCCCTGAAAACAGCAGCTCTGCGGGTCTCCTGCACCAACCCCCTTCAGGGACATCTAGTGCAAAGGTGCCCGCTCCAGTGCCTGATCCCAACGTTCCAATCACGGCTCCCAACCCTCATCCAAGATCCTGGGGGGGGGGTGTTTCCCTTCGACAGCTGGCCCCACCTCCTAGCATCTGTCCCCTAAGCAATGTGATGCCTAGAAGAGCATCCAAACAGTTCTGCTTCGGTAACGTTAGCCACAGCAAAGCGGGCAGGCTGGAATCAAGGCCACCTCTTTATCCCTTAAACAGAGCTTCATTCTGCTAGCGTCTCCCTAGAGATTATACAGGCCACAGAACGAACGGGTCGGACACCAGCAAAGGAAATGAAACACAGGAAGACTACTAACCTTACTTGGAAAACTACAGTACCTGCCACCTCCTCTCCCCTCCTGCCTGGAGGGTGCAGAAACAAACGCTGATGGGTGAAGAGGGAGCTGCTGCTCTCATTCCCAGGGATGATCTAGCCCCCATAGCCACACCCCCAGACCAAGAAAGAACAGCTCCTTTTCCACACACCCCGCCCCCCCCCAAAGCATGTGTGGAGAAGTCCGAGCCAAGCGGAGTTCTGGGTCCTGACTGCACAGCCCATCCAGATACCTGGACATCAGGATTTCTCGTCTTCCCCACAGCATGAGAAAACATCTAGCTCTGGAGGAAATGAAGGGGCCAGTGTGGTGTAGTGGTGAAGTGTGCGGACTCTAATCTGGGAGAACCGGGTTTGGTTTCCCACTCCTCCACATGCAGCTGCTGGCGTGACCTTGGGTCAGTCACAAGTTCTCTCAGAGCTGTTCTCTCTCAGCACCACCTACCTCACAGGGAGGGGAAGGGAAAGGAGTTTGTAAGCCACTCTGAGACTCCGAGTGAAGGGCGGGGTAGAAATCCAATCTCCTCCTCCTCTTCTTCTCCCTGTCACCACAGGTGTCAGCCCATCTTCATATAAATGTCAGCCCTATCTAAGATGGAACTTTCCCCCTGCTTTCAATCCATGACATTTTTTCCTCACAACAGCCCTGTGAGGTAGGTTAGGCTAAGAATGACTGGCCCAAGGCCACCCAACAAGCTTCATGGCTGAGTGGAGATTTTAGTCTGGGTCTCCCTGCTCCTACTCCAGCACCCTAACCGCTGTGCCCAAATCACTCAGGCTGGTGATCTGCTTCATCCTTGCCCCAGGCCTTAAAAATCCTGTCACTCTGCCTGGCCCAACCAAGGGTGAACTACAAAAGCCACTAGAGTCATTTTTCAAAGAGAGAGAGAGAGAGAGAGAGAGAGAGAGAGAGAGAGAGAGAGAGAGAGAGAGAGAGGTGCTATTGACAGCGTCCTTTCATTACTACCATGTAGGAGCTGCTTTTGACCAGGAAGCGGATGTTAAATGGCTGGCCCTTGCGGAAGGGCATGCTGGACTGGCGTTCCTCATGTTGCCAAGATCCTCTTTCAAATGAATTCCAGACCATGCAGTCACCCTGATCAAATCGAGGGTTGAAATGGAAAGCAATGTCCGGTTGAGGCACCTGAGCAGAACCACACTGGAAGTTGACATGGAATCTGCACCGGAGAAAAGGAGCGGGCATTAAAACTGGCCAATTCATACATGGCAGGTTGGGCCAGGGGGCCCCACCCTGTGCACTGTGTAAAAACAATAATCCACAAAGCTGAGTTTTTAAAAAAAACCTCTGCTTCCTGCTGCTGATTACTTCAGTTTCCTTTACATGGGGCTGCCCTTGGAGACTAGTCAGACGCTTCCATTGAAACAAAACGTGGCAGCCAAGGTTGCTGACGGGTGATTCACCTTTGAAATAGCTGCCCTGGCTGCACGGCTTGCTTTCAGGCCTCCACCAAACACTGCCGAACACTGATGGCGCCTCAAGTCTGGAACACCTTCCCCACGGCTGCTCACTTGGCATCCGCAGAGTCCAACTTTGTCTTGTAACCGATGCGTGTGTGTAGGAGTCACCGTCCACCCCGCCTTTCTTGCTTCTCACCTTTCTTGTTTATTATGGTTAATGCCGAAAGGATGGACACAGTCAATAGACAAGTGGAAATCAAACAGAACTGTGACAAAGTAACGCTAACAATATATTAAATAATCATTAACAATATATTAAAGAATCAAAATTATACAATAACAAGGAAGGGGACCCGCGAAAATCGCGGGGGGAGGAGCGGGGGAGCTCCACACAGATCAGGCAGAGGAGGAAGAAGCTGTTAAGCTTCCCCCCCATCCCGGGAGAAATTGGAACAGAAAAGAAAAAACAGCCTCATGTACTCATTGGACTCATCAGCCCTCGCCAGTCTCTCTATCTCTTCCCCCCCGGCTCCGAGCAGCCTCGGCAGTCTCTCTCCACCCCTTTCGCCTCCAAAGTGAGGCCTGCGGCTTTCGCCGGTCTCTCTCTCCCCTCCCCCCGCACTGAAGCGAAGCCGTTCCAAGAGCGTTCCCAGCGCATGCGCAGGGAACGCTCTTTTAGTTTTGGGGGGATTTTAATATCCCCCCGATAGTTTTTTAAAGTTTTCAGATTTTTGTGCATACCTGGGGACTGCCCCAAGTGTGCACGAAAGTCTCCCTCCCCCCCAGGTGCCCCCGATGCGCGGATTTAGGTATCCACACGGACGGGGGCGACTTCGCTATTAGTATATAGATGAAAAGGTGAACAATATATAAGTGAATGTAGACGGTGGTCTCCGGAATGTCCTGCCGTTTTGATGAATGATCATCTTCTGAACAAAGATGTGTAACATAAACTGTCTCTCAACAATTCATTTCTTCTGGTGACGTATCAAAAGTATCACTGTTGATTCCACTAATTCATGATTCTGTAGTTTCTAGTAAGTCCTTCAATGGGCTATTGATGCTAAATGCCTCCATTCATCGAAACGGCAGGACATTCCGGAGACCACCGTCTACATTCACTTATATATTGTTTACCTTTTCATTATTGTATAATTTCGATTCTTTAATATATTGTTAGTGATTCTTTAATATATTGTTAGCGTTACTTTGTCACAGTTCTTTTTGATTTCCGCTTATTATGAAGGTTCCCAGACTAGACTGGTTTTACTGTTGCTCTGGTTTTGAAGAGAGATGTAAAATTTCCGGAATTTTTTCGGGAAAAAACAGAAATTTTCGGGAAAATTGAAAAAAATGCTACATTAGCATTTCTTTTGTCTTTTCTAGATTGAAAGTCATTCTGTTACTTTAGGAACATAAAATATGACTATGGACATTTTTACTTGGCATGAAATTATCACAACTAGCATATTAAAAATATAGTGTATCCAAACAATTATTACAAACAGAATACCCACCCACATGCAAAAACAAAACTGAAACCTTTTTCTTTTCTTCTGACAATAGCACCTCCTAAAAGAAGAAATGCATCTTGTTCTTGCATTGGAGAGTTCAGTTTGTAACCTAGGACTTGCTTGTCCTCAGTGCACAGAAATTAGATCAATCTGATACCATATCAGATTATATATGGCTTATATATATATGAGAAATGATTTGGAAAATATTTTAACACCTTGTTTTAAAATATTTTATTCATCATGTTAAAATAAAATGTTCCATAATCAATTTTTTTCCTTTCCTTTTCTTTTTTCAATTTTTCGGGAAAAAAACAAAAAGGCTTCAGGAAAAAAACGGGGAAAAAACGTTTTCCCCCCGAATTTTTCCGGGTTTTTTCCGGGCCTTCACATCTCTAGTTTTGAACGATTTACTTATTTTTTTCTTTCTCTGGATATGTATACCCTGCTTTTCTCTCCAACGTGGCTAGCTGGTATCCGAGTGTGCCCTCGCCACGCTGGGAAGGAGCCGCATACCCAGGGCACACTGGCGCCAGCCACACACGGCTGGTGCCCACAGAAGTCAACTAAGCACCCTGCGGACATCCTATGGGATGTAGGTAGGGTGGCTGGTGGGTGGGAAAGAAGCAGGAAAAGGAGAGACTCTACTGGGGGGGGGGGCTTTCAGGAAAGGGAACAAAGAGATCGTGGGACGGGGGAAACGAGATGCCCCCGCAACACCTTGCAGCTCCCCCTCTTGTAAATACCTAAAATATAAACCAGTAAAAATGATCTCCTTGGAAACCATTCCCACTGATGCCTATTGAGATTGTTTACTCAATGAAAAAAAGAACATTGTGCATGTTCAGAAGTGCTCCTGAAGTTACTCCATCACCTGGTTCCAAAACAGTCTCAGTGTTCTGAGAAACACACTGGAGGTCTGTGGGGAGGGGGACACGAACGCAAACACCTGGACTACCCACCTGGTACAATGATGAAGCACCCTTCCCGTGACTGTCACCATCAGCCCATCACGGAGGCCACCATAGATGGGACCCGTAAATGGGATGGACTAGTGAGAGGGAGAAAAAGGCACAGAATGTTACATACTCTAAATTAAGCACAGGCACATCTCCTCCACACGCCCCCTAACAATCTTTATTGCATCGCCATGTTGATTTTTCTGCTCATCTGCTTTAAATTCCCATAATGGGAGGAGGCTGAAAGAACAGTGCCGTGTACTTTGCGTGTTTGTGTGTGTGTGGGGGAGCATTAACATCTTTCTTCAAATGGGCGCTGAAATCCAGCAGAGGTGTCAAACTCATTTGTCATGAGGGCCAGACCTGACATAAATGTCACTTTGTCAGGCCGGGCCATGTTTGCCATGAAATGTAATGGCAGGTAGTGGTTATCTCCGAGTTGGGTGTACCCTCGCTGCAAGGTCTCATGGCCTGGTAGGGGGGTGCAGAGGGGCGGACTGGGCAGACGCTCCCACGCTGCTTGACTGCTGCAGACGAGGTTGTTCCGCCACCCTGAAGCCGCAATCGGACTGGCCCCCCGCAAGCAGTCTCCTGCTCCCTCCCTTGCACTAGTAGCTCGTGGGCTGCACGAGAGCCCTGGGTTGGACAATTCCAGCCCCCGGGCCTTATGTTTGACACTCCTGCTCTAGAAGGTTCATTTTAAGACAAGGAACCCGTGAGAGGCAGGCAGAGGAGGCCAACTGGAGTGTTGATGTTTCACCAGAGTCTGGGTGCCGCAGCCAAGAGGATGGAGCCCACCAGAGGATTCTGAAAACGCGAAGCAAAGTGACACAACTCCTGAGGAGGCAAAATTTCGTGTGGAAACTTTTGCAAAGTTTGATTATTTAAGAAAGGGGACGCTGGGGTTTGCGCTTTTGTGGAAATGGTCTCTGTCCAGAGCTACAGTGAATACAACTTCCTTTCTCCCTGTTCCTGCCCACACCAAATCCTGGAGTGGACTCCGGCCGTCTAAAACACTGGCCTGGATTGAAGGAACAGAGTTGTCACAGCACCACGGGGGGGGGGGGGGGGCTCCTTTTTTAAAATTCTGCCCCCGGTGAAGATCGCCACACAGGGCTGGCGGAAGACACAGAGGAGGGCCAGGACCCACGTCAGGCTCATCCGCCCACCCCCACGTCAGGCTCATCCGTAGTTCAAAGGACCCGACGGGTGCGGCAAAGCAAGGGAAGCTCAGCCAGCGTGTGCAGCTGCTGGAACGTTGCACTCCTATTGCCAACGACACGCCCCTCGCGCCAAGCCTCAGGAAACCCCATTTCCTCTTTTGCTGTTTCCACCCTGGCAGTGCCAGGCATGGAAAGGGGATTTCTCATGTAAGAGGCTGTGGACTTCCTCCCAAGCCTTTCTTGGCAGCCACCAGCAAAGCAACACCCCCCCCCTTCACACCAGCTGTTAGAGAAGCTGATCCATCTCATCTGGGCCTCAACGGTCAGTTCTGCCCGCTCTTCACTGGGCTTCACTTGGCAGAGAAAGGTCTTCCCGGAGACTCCTGGATATATACTGAAGATGGTACCAGGGATATTCTGTATGCCAAGGATGGAGGAGGAATTTGGACTTTGGGCTGCTGTTACATTGATCCCAGCAAGAACTGAAAGGTCCGGATATATTCAGCCCAGCAAGGATGCTATGGGTGGGGGAAGCAGAGGGGAGGCAATGACAGTTCTCCAAAGTTTGGGACTGGTTTGGGGAAAGAGACAGAATGCTTTTCATCCTGTTTCCAAGAACTGTGAACAAGAAACTCTTTTCTGGCTTGTCACTTCCCTGCCCAGTCAAAGGTTTTCAAAATCTGCTGCTGCTGCAAGTTCTGCTTCCTTCCATGGGAAGGAGGTGTCTTGTGATACTCATGGCTGGAGGGGCCTTGCGATACCCGCTTGTATTGCTGCTGACAGACTAATGCAGCTACCCATCTTGTTCTTTCTTCAGTGAAGTGAGCAGTGACTGGTTTGAAACAAATGCACCGACCAACCTTTGGGGGTCGACTGCAGGCTTCAGTTCCCCTCTGGCCTATGGCCTGATTAGGGGTTCGGACCCGGATCTTGGTCACGCTGAGGTTGCCCCACACAGGCCTGCCCAGCCCCTCCACAGGGAGCAGCACCTGGATCTACAGAGGCGCCTGATGCCCAGTGTTCCCTCTAAGCTGAGTGAGTGTGAGCTGGCTCACGGTTTTTTAGCCTCCGGCTCACCCGTTTGTGTCACAGCTCAGGAAGGAGGGCTCCGGAGCAGATTAATTTCTGCAGCAGCCCAATCGCTGGCTCACAATTCTCATGCCAGGAGCTGAGAAAGTGGGATTTTGGCCGGACTGACCCGGAGGCCTCCTTCCGCAGGCCAGCGCTCCCGCCAGCCACTGAGGAAAAGCTTCGGGAGTGGCGGGTTTGGGGTGTGTTTTTTTGGGGGGGGGTCTGTTGTGGGGCGGGGGAGGAGGGGGAGGCCTCCCGGGGGCAGAGGTGCTCCTTCCACCCGGAGGGGCCGGCCTGACAGGCGTGGGCGAGGCGGGCGACGGGGCTGCGGCCGAGGAGAGGCGGGGGGGCTGGGCGGGGGCTCCGCGG